GTCATTAAGCTCTCCACTTCTGCGGACTGTTGAACGCTCACCTGGGTAAAATGAACGGTTTCAAAGACGTAGACAAAAGCAATTCCCACCAGAGCTGAAAATGGAACAGCAAATCTAGTTACATTAAGAATTAATCTGTAGTTATAATGGACGTAAGAATCTTATGGTGAGAAAACAGTTTGCTCAAATGTATTTAACAGGTCTAAAGGTGAAACCCGGCTTCAGCAAACGGATTACGAGAAGTACTTTGACTTCTACCTTTTCATTGGCTGTCTGCGCTATCATTTGTTCCCTACAAAATCTTGCGCGACCTTTTTCACTCTGAACTTTTCAACTAATTCGTATGTTCCCACTCGTTTTTTCGCTCTTCAAGCAGAGCACAGCTATTGCTTCGAGATCTGATTGGTCTTTCTTGACTGGACTGAATTATAGTGTGCTTTATAATACACTCGAGTGAAACCGATTTGTTAAGGGCGCTGATTAGAAGACCATTTTACCTGCATTATCCTGGGAATTGAAGGCAGCAAATAAAGCCACAACCCCAATTAAGAAAGCAGAGATGAAATCCAGTCTTATTCCCAGCCATCGAGTCCCAGCTAGCACCATGTAATATGACCGGTTGTGGTTGTCTTGATATCTGCGGAGACACAGCAGAGTAACTGCTTGTCAGGAGATCAGGCATTCTCTACTCTACAGTTTACGCTTTTGACTCCGCGCGTCCGTAATCATGCGCAATAGAGAGGAGCTCTGGGATCAAAAACTGTTTTAATCTTCAATGTGAAGAAAACTGATTCATAACGTTTGTTATGTTTACCTAATGTCGCGGTAGTTCTCAGTCAGAAGAAGTCTCGTATCGGGCATATTTGCCACCGATTTCCCAGTTGAACGTCAGAGCTTGAGCTTTGGGGTGACTGTTCACCATTTTTTTCAGATTTGACAGGAGCGTTTCGAGCGTTAATTTTGCTACTTTTTGTTCAGTTCAGAATGAGTGACCTTCTTAACCCTGGTATTTGGACCTGAGTATCAAGAAATACCTTGACAACACCTTGTATGAAGGGTTATTCCCACCATCCTAATGTTCTATATTTCTTGCTTAATGCTCAGAAGCTAGAAAGAAAGTAGGTTTTATTCCAACACACCTGTATAGGAGCTCAGCAAACTCCTGCTGCCTCTTACGGGTTCTAATAGTATCCAATCCATCGAGTGTTTCAGCAATTTGTGACAGCACAGGGCTACGGCAGATAGACTCCAGTCTCTTGAGCTCCCTAGAGGTTTTCAAGAAGTACCGAGCAATGTAAACGTACAGTATGATAATGGGCACCACAACTGCTGCAAGCCAGGCATTTGCCGCTAATGGAAGAAGCGCTGCGGTCAACACAAACATCACCAATTGGATTGCAAAGAGAAAAGTCTTTGGCAGAACTTCGTCCAGGCAGCCAATATCCTTTGAAAACCGATTGAGAATCCTACCAACTGGATTTGAATCAAAGAATAGAATTGGTGCTTTCAGGATAGCCGTCGCCATGTTGTTGTGAACGTTTTCTGAAGATCTGAGCACCGCTTGAAAGAAAACGAAGGCGCGGCAGGTTGTAAAAAGAACAGCCGCTGCGACACAGCTCGCGTAGATTCCGATATTTTTTCTGTCCTTTTGCTCTTCGTGAGGCAACGTTGTCAGGAAGGAAAGACATAAATCGGGTAAAACCATTATCCCTATAAAAATAGATATAAATATATAAACGTTAATTAATATTTTATGACTGGCTCTGCGAGCGGGAAAAAGGATGCGTTAATAGTTCTGATTCGCTGTCGGAGCAAGGGGCCGGGACTGAGATGGGCCCGCAACTGAGAAAACAATTCTTAGCCCGAAAAGTTGTGTTCCATGTTCCATTTACTTCCCAGCTATATTTTCCTAAAGCTTGCAAATGGTAAAGAACCTTTTTGCAAGCTTTAGGAAAATATGGTTGGGAAGTAAATGGAACATGGAACACAACTTTTCGGGCTAAGAACTGCTGTGTATTGGCCTTGTGGGCCTTGACGTCGTCACCATCCGCACAAACGCAAGAAAAGAACTTTACCAGTATACAACTGCACAAACCCAGGCTATTGTGTGACAGCCATCCAGCTTGAAAACTGTTGTCCCACCTGACTGCCCTGGGTCTCCGAGGATATAGGACAACTAACCTATGGCATCTGATTTTAATGGTCTTACCAAAGGCTTTTCACAGAGACTTTAAAGTTACGAATCTAACTCTTATACATGAGAACTAATAAGCTTTGTTTGACCAATGTATAGACGTCCTCTTACCTTGGGAAAGGATAAAAATGATGATCAATGCAACTAAAGCAACAGGATTTAGTCCTGCCCTTAAATAGTCCCAGTACAGCTTGAAGGACACAGTGCCAGTCACACGATCTTCCTCTGGAGTTGCCATACTTCTACTAGATTTGTCCAAAATGTTTTCTGACCTGTCCCACTGAGCAGCCATGGATTGTCTTTCAAGCAATAGTGTGTTCCCGGCTTCTTTGCCTATACTGTTACTACGAGGCTCTAAAAAGTCTTTTACTGCTTCGTCTTCGTGAAGTTCCGCAAACTTCCCCTTAGCGATAACTGAGCCGTCGCGCAAGATTATCACTTGATCTGCCGATTTGATAGAGTACTCCTTGTGTGAAACCATCAGTCGGAGTTTGTCTGACAGCATCCCCAGGATGCAATGTTTGAAGATGAAATCACCGACATTTGTATCAATTGCAGCCAGCGGCTTGTCCAAAAGATAGATATCACAATCAGCATACACTGCGCGTGCCAAACTGACACGAGCTTGCTGACCACCACTTAGGGTGTTTCCGCGTTCACCGATGACAACTTGATCTCTGTCAGGAAACCTTTCAATGTCCTCTTCTAACGCACAAGCGTGGATTGTTTGAAAGTACTTTTCAGACTGGAATGGCCGACCAAAGAGAATGTTTTCTCTCAATGTCCCCGAAAATACCCACGGTATTTGTGGTACGTATGCAATGCTGCCAGATACCTCGATATTTCCTGCAGTAGTCGGCATTTCACAAGCAATTAAAGATAACAAAGTCGACTTCCCACTTCCCACCGGACCGGTAATGACGGTCAAGGTCTTATCTCTTGCTTCAAAGGTGATTGATCTCAGCGGAGTTTTGTTATCATCAATGATTTTACATGCCACATTGCTTAATTTGATTCCTGCTTTTGTGTCTGGCTCACATGCCTTCTTTAATTCTGTTTGAGTTAACCCCAGACTTGAAAGAGGATTGTTTCCGTTATGGTCATCTTGAATTTTTACAAACTTGGTTATGATGCAAGATTTTTTTGTGTACTCGTCGAAGTATGTCAAGCCATCAGAAACGTCCACAACTACTTTGCCAATACGTTTGTTCGCGAACAACAAATCCTTCCCATTTTTACTTGAGTGCTTTCCGTCAGTCAAACAATGCATTTCTGGTAGCACCAAAAACTCTTGTATTCTACCAAATGAAACGTACGCCTCGTAAATAAAATGCAGCCCTTCTGCTATAGATCTTAAGGCACTGTTTCGGAGCACATTTATTATTGACAGAAGTGTAAACACTTTGAACGGTGTCAAGTTGGAACCAGTAAATACGAGTGTCAAAAGAGAGATGAACACTGCGACAACGCCAGAAGTGTACATCATAGAAATACCACAAGATACAAGGACACTCTTCTGGCGAATTATCTTCATTTCCTCCCTGAAAACAAATAGGAAAATTATCGTTTTTTCACTTATGTCCTAGATGTTCGTAATCGGGTATTTTTACAGAGTTAGCAGTGGATGAATCATCCTAATATTGACCCCGAAAAGGCAAGCCAGCCATTTTTAAACGATTTTCAGAGGAGGTCGCGAATTCTGATCTCGGGGCCGTACCAATACCAAGAGAGAATGATAGCTCATTCCCTCTAACTAATACTCAGGGTCTTGGAGTAACTACCTTTGCCCTGCAAAAGGCTCGACCTTTTTTCGCTGTTGCTCAGCCTTGTTAGTTTTTCACTAACTTTCATTGGTAAGCGTTTTTATTAACAGTCTTTTAAGGAGGGTATAAAGCATACTGAGATTTAATCTACAGTATGACTTCTTATACCACTTACTTTCGAGTCTCCTGGATTTGTTCCAGAAAGAACCATTCCAACGCATGTGTCTTCACTTCACGTATTCCAGCCACTATCTCAGCCATAAGGTTTATTCGCCTATCTGAAACAGCAGCGGTCTTTAGTCGGAGCTTTCCAGCAAGGTATGTAAGGAAGCCACCAAATGGTACCAGAAGAAGCAAGAACACGAGACTTATTAACGCCTGCCAACCTATGAAGTGCCACATCAACGGGACAGCAACAGTGACATCGAAGATGGCGACGAGGAGCCGAAAGAACTGCCTTGCAGCTTGCTCCATTCTTTGAAGATCATTGGACACGAGATCAATCACGTGACCTTTAGTAAATCCGTTCAGTGTTTGTTGACCAAGGAGCAGAATCTAGAGATTGAGAACGAGGATACAATCACGCCTATGTAAAGCGTACTTATTTGTCAGTCCAATTTATCTACTGTAAGCTACTTCAGTATTTCGATAGAGAATGTCAGATCCTCTTACACATGAATAATCGTTTACTCAGACTCTCAATTCTTCCGATCTGTAAGCCTTTGCCATTTTCAAGTTTTTCGTATATAATAGATACATTATCCAGAGGAACGTGGAAAGTCCACCTTGCTACAATAGCTCACGCTTACATTACAACTATCGTTCTACATTTTTAGAGACCGTATATAAGTCACCTCGCAAGTCAAATTGTGCGTATTCGCATCCTCTCATACCCAGCATTCCGCTTCAAAATAGGTTTTCCTTTTTACAAACACATAATGAATAAGCAGCAAAGAAAGGAGCGAACAAAGAGTTAAGGCCAAGAAAACCTCTCTGATCCTCTCTAGTCATGTTTTTTCCTCTGCTGTTTTATTCTTCTATTTACACTTATTTGGGTGTGGTCGTTGTTGAGGTACCTTTTTTTAAATACGAATACTGCTAATTTGGGGGCCTAAGGGTAAGGGGTGCAGTTAAGGACTTCGGTTATTGTACACTCAACAGGTGTCCGTTTGATACATTAACGAAAAAGAATGAATGCCAGTCTTAATAAGGACGGTGTATGATGGTTTATCCTAGTAGCTTTAAACAAATCAGCATTCCCCCAAAATCACACCGGAAGCCGAAAACGTGACGAGGCACTTAAGGAATGTCTACGTAGGAAGCTCTGAATGACCTAAGTACACTATTGGTACAGTGTATTTAAAAACATTCACTACCCAAATAAAGTTCGATACGTAATCAAGATGTAATTCACGGTAGCTTCTAAGATGAAAATGCGTCTCAAACCTTTGTTTGTTTCTCAAACGAGGACTAGTCAGTCCGAGACAACGAAGAATGATGATGATGACTCTGGGACACAACTGACCCTACAAGAGACTGTGACGTTGTTATTAACGTCGTAAAGGAGGGAAATCTGACCTCGTATGCACTTTGGTGAAGCTAATCACCTGGATTACCCTGTCCCTGGGAGGTCTAAGTGATACTCACTCTCAAATTACATATTGAACGTTCATTCAGAACGGTTATCCAGAGTTCAGCTGTACCGTGAGAATGATTACTAAATCCCATCTTATCTCTAATAATTATTTGGTTCCCATCGTTGTTCAAACCGCAAAGTGACATAAATCTTACTTAACTCAGACAAAATCCGGAAAGCGTGCTCTATTACATGAAGGAAAACTCACCTTTTTGAATATAAGACCTTTGAGCGAGGCCTTCATTCGCATCCCAATTACATAAAGTTTGAAACTGCTGTGATGCACGGCGACACTTTTCATCACTACAACCAACAGCATTAGCAGGGCACAGCAAGCAAGCAGGGCTTGCTCTGGGGTGTTAGACACGAGTGTGGAAATGAAAACTCCCAAAAAAAAGGGCTGAAGAAATCGCCCCACCGAGTCCAGAAACCCAGCAAAACCAATTATACAGAGTTCTTTGCGTGACAACACTTTCATGGCTGTTTTCCATAACCGTGGGTCTTTGTCGTTTTTAAGATCTTTCGTCCATTGTGATTGCAGTTGTTCTGTCAATAGACAAGTTTTGTCTTCGTCGTGCAGCGGCCAAAAGTCTGACTGTTGCAGAGGGCGATTGTTCCCCGTTTTGAATAAATCGTTCGTCCACCAAAACAAAAGAAACGAAATCCAGTTGGCTTTGCTCTGGGGATGTTGAGGGACCTCATTATTGCTGGCTTCTCTGTCCATTAGTCTTAAAATGAAAGCAAAATTAGTTGTGAGTAAACAAAGCAAAATTGCATATTCATTTGAAAAGGATTTGTTTAGTTTATATGCAACAGGTAAGTTTATCCCATAAGGCTAGGGTGTGCTTTGATGACTTCAGACAGAATCTACAATTTTTTGCTAGCTCGTTGAGACATTTCGTTTGACATCAACGATGATTGCTTTGTTAGACAACAGAATGACGGCATTTAAAGAACAAACTAGATAACGGGTACGGTACAATTGAACAAAAACACAACTGATTTACCTTTTTCCCAGTTTGAGGCCAAAAAACACTCGATCCGTCATTATTAATGAATACAGAGCGAAGACTACGAGAAGAAACTTATATCAACCTATTGTAGCTGAAGGATCGACTTAACATGTGAAAATGACATCTAATACTTTCACTGCTATAGAAAAAAAATAAACGAAGTTGACCTCAGCGATTCATTTACCAAAGGTGCGAATTGTCAAGTGCAGATGTAAATAGAGGTCGGGCGAAATTTGTGTAAATTGTTTGCGGATGTGACGTGCATGTGAGTATCCTGCTAACAGAGTTTGTTGGCGCACGTCTGGGCAACGACAAGTGGAAAGATACGTTTATTTGATAAATATAGAAAAAAAAAACTTTTGATCCTAAGATGATCAGCACATTTTATCCTCGCCGAACATAATCTAATGTAAACCAAACACTCTAGCGTCAGTTTCGTAAACAATAGTACTATAAAGGAGTGGGTACGATGGAGAAAAAGGATGACTTTTCCGATTTTGTTGGAGGAAAATCGAAAATACGAGAAGTTGATTTCAGTCTTATACATAAAGAGAATTAAAGGCCGGAGCGAAATACTTGTTTGAGACAAACTTTTTCGATCTCCAACTAAATAACGTCGACAGAAGATAAACGACGGTTTGGGCCGGCGGACACCTCTTTATAACGCAAACTGTTCCGTATATAAAAAGAGCCACAGTAGAAGGTTTCCGCATGAGATTTATCAACGTTATTATAGTGTTGATTAGTGATTGTTCTGGTTGGCCTTGATTTTTTTTAAGTCAGCTCATGATTTTGCCGGCTGGTCTGGATTTCGAAGGTCTGGATTGTCCGTACTGCATTCACAACTTCAGTGAAAGGAAAGTTTTGCGTTTGTTGGTGTACGCCTTGCCCACGCGATAAAACCGCGCTCTTATTGAGCCTTACGGTATTCGCCCCCCCAGGCAAGTTGTCGATCCCATGCCTGGGATGGCATCATAAGTACAAGTCAAGAAAGAAGACACTCGGGGACTTGTAAAACTTATTCAAAGTAGACAGACTGCAAATTATATTAGTTGCTAAAAAATATATATCTACGTGTCGCAACTGTTATATAAGAGTAAAAATTATTGTGCAATCACGTTTTGATGTCCTATACGTGGTGATGACCGAAGGGTATAATGTCAATAAAGGAAGACAAATAGAGGAACAAGCCAATACTAATCACAAACAATAAGGATGCCTTAAATTTAGCACAGATGACGCACGAGTTTTTCTTGACACTGACGGGTGACGTGTAGGGTTTACAGAAGGCGTTAACTTGGATCATAGTTGATCAGATCTTGTTTTCTCCTTCAAGTATCACTTTTTTTTCCAGTACACCAGACGCTCTAAACCTTCGGACTATACAAATGGTTTAGACGAGTACGTGGGTCGGCTGCAATGCAGGCTAACCAGATCACAATAATAATAATAATAATAACTATGGTTAATGTGATTGCCAAAATGTTTTCAGATCCAATGGTTACCTTAATTAAAATAATCCGTGATGGAATTGGAAGAACAGGTAAACCAGTTCTGTCGCTTGATGACGAACAAGAAGCTCTGTATCGATGGTGTTCATCAGTAGGCTTGTCTCGGGTGCATTAACTTTCTATTTACCTTTTCGGAAAACCAGTTTTATCAGTTTTTGACCTTTAAGAACTCTGAACGTTTTGTCGGGGTTTACAGAAATGTAAATTTAATGACGGCTGCTAGGCTTTGATAAATTGTCGGCAAGCATAATTTTTGGCATCATTCGTCATTACGAGCATAACTTTCATCTATTTTCCAAAAAAACACTGCTAGGATGATTTGGGACCTGGATCCAACAGGACTTTCCACAGGAGTCATTCTTTGAGTTTTTAGAGGAACCCATCCAGGCTCCTGCTTTTTATAGCTGTCAGTCATGAGATTTTTGTTTCAGTGGCTCACCTTTCTACATTCATTTATCACTGCCAATTCCGAGAAAATACTTTGAAAGACAGTGAAAACCAGGGAACATGCACTCGTAAATATGCAGACGTTTCTTGAATGTAAATAAGGTAAATGTGTTTGCCATTTACATTTTTGTTGCATATAGTTATATTGAGGTGTTTTATACCAAATTTTCAGTAACAAGTAAAAGCATAGTTAATGTATTTTGTTTTCGCTAAAATAACTAGAATAATCACTGGCCTAATTTTTGAAATATATGAGCACTGCTAGTAACATATGCTACTTTTGCGAACAAAATATCAAAGCCTATTAAAATTTTCTAATTAAAAAGATCAATTCAGTTTTCCCACTTTGGAGGCTTGGTCCTCGTTTTGGCATGTTTCTTGTTTTTCTGGCATCATCTATGCTTTTAGCAGGAAGTGATGTAAAAGGAAGCCTTTGTATCAACAAGGAAATAACCGATTATTCTGGCGACATGTGCGGCCAACTCCATCCTTGAATCAGGTGTTTTAAATAGGTGTTTTAAATCTACTTCCTTCAATCAAACTTCTTAAGAATCCATTTTATAATAAATTCATGAGATATCATTCTATGGATAGGATATGATAGAATAGTTTGCTCATTGATTACATGAAAATTAATGACCCTCTTTAGTTTTTTAATCCTTCATAACCACACATTATTTCAGTTTCGATGCTTTGACAAAGTGGCGTCTTCAATTCCTCGCACGTTTTTTTAAAACACGCTTTTAAAGTAAAGTGAAAATGTACCCAAGGCACAGGCTAACTACCAAGTACTGAACAATAAGAATGCTGACATTTCCTTTTTTAAGTACTTTCAATGATTTTCGCCCGTTGCCTCACTTATTTGACGGTGGTCAAACTCTCTTTTCAATTCTCAGCCCCTTTGGAAAGGCCGATATTACAGTTAAGTGTATTATGTCATGAAATCCAACGATTGGTGGTCAAACTCCCCGTCAAATCCAGGCCCTTCTTCAGGATGGCCGATATCTCTTTTGTGTATTTTTCAGTGACTGTCATGACATTCAGTGATAGAAAAAATTATCTTTAAGTTAAAATATTTTGACAATTGGTATTTTGAGTAATTCCTACAACAAAGAAAAACCTTTTGCTCCCTTCCTTTTGTAATGTTGTTTTAGCCATGTAACTTTGCAACCAAATCTCAACATTGCACGGGGAACTATAAGAGAAGTGCATGGGTGTTTCAAGAATTTTTGACAAAGATTATCAAATATAATTAATTCCTAAAGACAAATGCCACCCTCAATCAGTTAGTCACAGTCAGCGCCAAGTCCTTATAAGACTGTCCATCGAAATATTTCATATAACTAATCCATTCTCTTTTCTTTTCCCTCTAATGGATCCAAACGGTAAGCTGTCGCAACTGAAATTTTTTAAAAATCATCAGCCTGTTCTGCCATCCATCAAAAGTTATCTGAACCTCACCTGGCGGACAGGTGAAACGGTAAAGTGCATGAATGAACGGATTAAGGAACATCACATCGACCATTTCCTACTGACGCAATTAAGTCTGAGACTAGGCTCGTTTACCATTCGCTGTTCGGAAAAATTAGCCAGGACTCATCAGGAACAATGTCCGGACTTGGGAGAGCGGCGGAAATCGTGCCTACTTTGGTTTAGTAAAGCGAAGAGACTGCGAACGACCTCGGGCGTATGTGAATAAGGCTAACTTTGGTTCGAGGTTAAATAAATTGAGGAGGGCCTCACTGGAACCCCCGCAGGGTAAAAGAAGCTATTCATATAAGACAACCGCCCTGACAACATCAGTCGGTGGAGTTCAGAAGCCTGGGTGCTTACGTACGTGAGACGTCGAGATAGCAGCTGATCAGTATACCACAACGGACCTCTGAGGGATTTAAAAACTGGTAAAAGCTCACACATTCATCAAACATGAGTGAGTAAGGGACGGACCATCAGAAAACTTATGGGGGGGAGGGGGCGAAGTACAAAAAAAATATTCCCGCAAGGGAAAATCAAATGAAAAAAAAATTCATGCACGCCAATTAATCCTATAAAATATTCATGCTATGGCCTTAAAAAATTCATACGAGGAATTTGATAACGACAAAAAATTCCTGCGGCTCGAAAATTCCCCACCCCCCCCAACTTTTCTAATGGTCCGTCCCTCTAGTCATGACCAGTCACAAGCAACCATTGTGCTTCTATAGTCCCGCCAGTAAATCAACACCAACGCCTGATGACGACCAGTTGTACTCGACTAAACTGGTCGCGACAACTACACGAACCTTTCATCATTATAACACTTCCATTCCAAGCATAAAAATGGCAAGTGATCAGCTTCACATTAATTGCATTTATAACGAAGTGTGAGCTGGGAATAAGGAAAAACAAAACACTGACAGCCTACTTATAGCTGAGACTGTATTGAGCCTTGCTGTCAGTTCTTTAAGCGGATTCTCTTAACGTTTTTCTATATTGACGCCACAACACGACCAAAAAAATCCCAAATAATACCCATAAAGGTATTAGGCAGTTTTTGTATCGGTGAATTAGTGCTATGAAGTACCTCTGTTCAGTAACTGCTGCAATATATTAAGTAATAAATGTTTATCGCCTTATCTTATTTACAAATAACCTATTTCAAATAACAGGATCATTGACTTGATCTTATATTCTTTTTGGCCAGTCGGTGCAGGAACCCGCTTTAGTCTGCTTAGAGCTTGCGGCCTTGTAAGAAAACGCGACTAGATAATGTTTACTTACTTTCCTGAGGGATCGTCTCTCGTCCATAGCGATTTTATCCTTATGCAACACTGATTAATAAAGTCCATACTTTACTCCTTTTCCTTGACAACTAGCCTGTTAATCATTACGCTAAAAGATGCATCGTTTCACAATTATCAGTGTTAAAGGTAAAAAACCCTCTGGCAAATTGCCTCGTGCCTTTTGAAGTCAACAGACTGGAACACGTTTAAGTCTGGAATCTAAATAAAGAAGCCATTCCTTAATTTTTGTTTATTAAGAGGGTGGTGGAATGTCCGGTGAGCAATCCGATATTCGATAGATCGCTCAGTTACAAA